CCAGACTAAGGCAGACTAGGAAGAATGTCCTGGCAATCTACTGCCAGATATCAGCAAGTGAAAAGTCTATGGGTGACATGGATCCAATCTGCCTTCATGGGAATGGCTAAGAACTGGGCAGTGTTTCATTTCATCATGTCTGGAGTTTCCATGAGTTGAGAATTGACTGGACTCAACATTTGCATTTCAGAAAGCAATCTATTACAAAAAGATTTGGAAGATATTTATATTTAGTGATTGAAATTTTCTTCGGTGACTTTGTAAAAGAAAAACTCAATGGGACTAGTCCCAAACTGAGAATGATTGTGTTCAATTTGAAGAAGTTGTTGTTGTTGTGACGTGCTGCCAAGTCGCTTCCAACCCACAGTGACCCTGTAGAGGGTTTCCGAGGAGCAGCTGGTGAGCTTGAGCCACAGACCTTGCAGTTCAAACATCTTTACAGTCTGGTGCATTAACCCACAGCGCCAGACCAGGGAAGTACTAAATTGGCATTTACTTCTTTTTAACTTGAACCACAGACGTTCCCCAAAATCTTATTTAGCCATAATTACATTTGAACCATAGAATTAATTGTAATTTTAGGTGGAGAACAATGGGAAAGTTACTATCTTTTCACAGAAATAACACAAATACATTCTGTTTTGTTCCTTTCCCCCTTCAAAGATATTTTCATTAGTGATGTGGTAAAATCAAAGTGCATGTCATTTGTGCAAATACGGTAAGAGTCTTTAAGTAAGGTTCTGTGGCTATATATTTGGAAGATAATTTAATCATGAACTTATATCAGGCTTCTGGGGGAAAAAAAAGTGTGTTTTTCCACATTTGAAAAAACTTGCAATAATAACTCTTCAGTTCAAAAAGGTTGCTCACACCTTAAGAAAAGAGCAAATTTGCCAGTGCATTAATTAGCTCCACAATAATGACTCTGCACTCTGAGGTCAGACAGAAAATAGAATAAAATCAATGTTATATTCTTTTTAAGATTCTTAAATGATCACCTATCAATTTGTGTTGCTATAATATATTCTAATTTTGAATTTCAAAGAATAACTTTTAGATCTAGAATGGATTTTAGTGTTCAGCAAGACCAATTAACTCCTTCTTTTACAGAAAATCAAGAGAATTGTCCAGAGTTCAGGTTAGAACTTGGAGTGGAAATTGGAATTCCACCTTTAATCTAATTTTTCCCCTGTAGTCCCTGGGCTTCAGGCTGGAGTCTGTGTTGGGATGGACAATGGGATACCCAGAAAGAGGATAGGACCTGGGCCCCCATTAATATTGCAGCCAGAACAACCCCCTGTTTTCCTTTCATGTTTTGGAGTTCTGTTCAGAATTGGTGAGGGGAGTTAGTGTTGGGGAGAAAAACACAATTAACTCATTCAGAAATGGTCAAAGCATATTATAGTTCATGGGGCTATTTGTTAGCAACAGGCGAAAGGCAAAAAGAGGGAAAAGGGGGCATGGTGATCAAGTAGGGGATGTCGGATTCCAAACAAAACTTCTTAAGTTAATGGAAAAGAAGTCATCCAAAGTTCTCGACTAGGGCTTGGGCCTTGTTGGACTTTTTGTTCCTCTCTCCAAACCATTCCCTCTTTGATAACTCCCCATGAGTATTTAGGGAAAAGTTTCTCACCCCATCCAAGTTTTTGCACCTGCTGACGTCTCCTTGTATATCTCAGCTCCCCACCTTGTCCTGTGTTCTGAGCTCAGCAGACACCACTTCCTCAGAGAATGGCCTCATCCTCCCCTCTCCATAAGGTCATGGGATCATAGACACCCTCATCCCTTCTGCGGGCACTGACACAATTGCCCCTAACTTCTTCTGTGACGTCTATGTTTCTGCCCCTACCTAAACTCAGATAGACTCTCTGAATGTCCAGGATTCCTCACCTGGTTCTTCTCAGCACCATTTCCCAGTACCTGGCATAGCCACATGGGTGCCCTGAAGAAGTATCTATTGATAGGCTCAATGTGTAAAACTTATGTTCCACCATATGGGCAGCAACCTGGTGATGGGATCCTGGTACAGATTCTTCACAGGAATAGAGCCTCATGCTGGTAAGGAGGAGCTTTGGTACCAACACTCTGTCTATACATTTTGAAAGGAGTTAAACACACGTGCACACTCAGTCTGATTGCTCACAGCTTGTCAACTGAAAGTTTTGCTTAATTTAGAATAGTGACCCTCAATTGTTTCCACCCCCTCAAACTACTAAGAAATAGGAAACAAGCCCAGACAAGCACTCCTGATCTGACAACTGGATGGAAAAGAGACAGGAAGTAAAAGTTATCCCCGCACCCTGATGCATTCTGAGTCTTCAGAGGTGTTCCCAGAAAACTCCCTGGTCCCAGCATCTCCCCTAGGGACCAGTTAAGAGATTAGTTTAGGTCATAGGTTTCTTAAGGTGATGTCAGACTTGAGTGATAACTACCTGAGCAGTAAGAGGGAAGCAGGTCTGAGATTAATATTTATTTGATACCTGGTGTGGTGCTGTGGGTTAATGCATTGGAATGCAGGGTTGGTTTGAACTGCCAGGTTGGTGGTTCAAGCTCACTAGCCACTGCTCAGAAATCCCATACAGGCTTGTTATGAGTCAGAATTGACTCACTGGCACTTAACAACAACAACATTGTGTGCTCACAGTGTTCTGATGAACCCTCCCATTATAAGTCCACTTCAGCCTGTGTAAACACATCTAAGGTTGGCATCATCATACTTTTTAAAAGAATTCTAAAACAATCCTTTTAGGATTACCTTCTAATCTAATGAATAAGCCTTATAAAAACATTGAAGAATCAAAGTGGTATAGATGATTAATGTGCTGGGCTATTAATCAAAAGGTTGGCAGTTCAAGTCCACCCAAAGGCTTCTCAGAAGAAGGGCCTGTTGATCTTCTGAAAATTTAGCACTGAAAACCCTGGAGAGCACAGTTCTGCTCTGACACTCTGTAGTCACCGTGAGTTAGCATCGACGTAGTGGCTACTGATGGACTGTTCTCTCATAAACTGTAAGTTGCCAGACAGCCCGAATTTTCTCACTGGAAATAAATTATGCCCTAGCACCAATCCCAGACCCTCATCTCTGGACACTCCTCCAGCAGCAAAAACGTGCAGGTGTCATAGAATTGTGAGCTGTGAACCACAGTCCCCAAAACAATTCAGTAGTCTGCAGTAAATCCCACCTCACAACAAAACCCAGATCCAGGGTGTCCAGTCCACCCAGGGCAAAGCCAGTCATCTGCTCTGCTGGGATTTGAATCCAGGTCTCTGTGTGGGAAACCTGCATATTCTTTCTTCCGGTATCATTCTGCCATCTAAAAAGAGGGGGAACATGTTAGCTTTAATTGACTCACTTGTTCAATGACATGACAAAAACGAAGTCTGAAGAGGATAGGCAGGCAGTGGGAATCTTGCCTTCCAGCCACTATGGATGGCTGTGCTGTGGAGAGCTCTCTCCGAGTGGAGTGGGTGGTTCTGACTTACAGGCTGCAAGTACATAACAGCTGGCAGCCACCCAGGGTATTACAGAAGATCAGAAAATGATCCACATGAAAAGGTTGTCTTCATCCATCTGCATAGTTTCTCCTCCATAATGGCTCTCTAATTAAGAGTCCTGCAACAAAAGTCAGGAAGGAAGCAAGCGGAGAGGTCCTTGTTAAAAAGCATTCACTGCATTCACATATTTTGCCCTGTGCGCTTGTGCTTCTCCAAAAAGTCTCTCCTTTGTGCTCTATACTTTCCTTGTGAGCTCATGTGTGAACTCTGTTTTGCTTTAAAATGTGTGCTCTTTGTTTCTTTTATTGTTGGGGACCTCTAATAAATCAACCTTTGAAGGGGTTTTCTCTTGGGTGTTCTATTGGTTTTGTTCATTGTATATTGTTAGTCACCTGTCCGGGTAACGTTGGGTGCAATTATGATGCCGTTTGGTTATCAGTGTGCATGAGCTCAGAGATGTCGATGGGCCTTATCATTGCAGTGACTTCTCTTTGGAGGAATGATTTTAAAACAAAATGCAGCAAACCTACAACAAAGCACAGTCCTAACATCAATAGTGCTTAGACATAAGATACTTAGCTCTTAAAGTGTCGAAGTTTACATTTTATTTTTGTAATTTAAAAAATTTCAGTTTCTAGTTGACTAGGAGCATTTCTGACCTTCAACTCCAACATGAGAAAGCAGTTTTATTGATCTTAGAGAACCCGGAAGCTCAATGAGAAAAAAAAATAAAACAAATGAACCTCATGCTAACATAATATTCATTTTAATGTTGATGTCATTCATTAATATTAATGTCAAGGGAACAGCCTTTTCTAGTGAGTTGCAACTGTATGCATCTTGTCTTTGTGGCCATAAATCGCCATGACAACGGGGCCCTCCACCCTTCAGGGTATACAAGTTTTTGATTCATTCAAATTTTACTTGAACACTGTTTTCCAAGATTATCTCTTTTTTCAGACTTGTCTCCCATATGCAAATAAAAGGAGAACCAGATGCATGGTAACTGAGGATCATATCATTAATATTTCAGCCCAAAATTTCATATTTAACTATTAAATATTTATCAGAAGTTGTCAAACCAGTATTTTGTTACTTAAGTGTTTGTTTACACTTCCAAACAGTCTCATTATTCTTTGTCTGGTTTTGTAAAAAAAAAATTTTAAACAACTTCAGTTAAACCAAGAGTGAAGTCTATAAATAATCACATTAATGCTACCATCAGTTTGAAATTTCCAATGTTTATCCACAGAATAATACAGGATAAAATTCAAAGAGGCTAATGATTAAACCACTAATTTTCAAGGAGAAGAGGGATGTACCCTCTCTCACAGGTGTGCAGTATGCCTTATTCAAATTCAGATTTCTCCAGAGGTAGCTATTGTCTTTGAATGAATGCCTTCCTTTATTCAGTACACCCTCAATTCCAGATTTCAGATTAATCAAACTGATGTTGCGTTTGTTAGATGGTTTGAGCTGACTTGTCTTTGCCATGTTTTATCCAGTGAGCCTGCCTCTGGGGCCCAGTGGCAATTGCACAGTGGATGGTAGCCCGCTGGCACTCTCTGAGACTGAGGAGACGGTGTCTGTGGGTAGCTGCTTTACATCTGAGGACACAACAGAAGACTCTGGAGTAATGAGCTCCCCTTCAGACATTACCTCCTTGGATTCACAACATGACAGCATGAGGTCCAAAGACAAGTGGGCCACTGACCAGGAAGACTGCAGCGACCAAGATCAAACTGGAACCCCAGAACTAGGTCCCAAAAAGAGCCCTTCTTGGAAGAAGAATGGCTCTGGGCACTCCTCACATCAAAGGTGAGTCATGTGGTCGTTGAAATGGGCAGTCAGTCACACATCTGGCATCTTAGGCTCTAAAGAGGTGAGTCTTCAGTCATTGTATTCAGGCTGCTTTGTTTCTCATTTCAATCCTACACTCTTCATTCAGAGTATACTCCGTGACAGACAGAAGTCACCGCCACCCTTCTAAACTTGGAGTTTATTATCCAAATGCATGTTCCCCTGCTGCTTGAAGATAGATATTTATAAATAATACATAATATTATTGTGCTTGATTTTATACTTCATGTACATGAGATCATGCCCACAGGAAACTTTTTCGCTCAATAGTCATGTTTTTAAGATGTATCCATGATGATACACACATATGCTATTGTTGTTGTTGTTGTTTATGTGCCATCGAGTCGGTTCCGACCCATAGCGACCCTGTATAGGGTTTCCGAGGGTGTTAATCTTTACGGGAGTAGAAAGCCTCATCTTTCTCCCGCGGTGCAGCTGGTAGTTTTGAACCGCTGACCTTAAGGTTCACAGCCCGATTCGTAACCACTACTCTACCAGAGCTCCTTTAGCCATGTTCTCCTACTATTACTGGAGTCCCTACATTGCACAAACAGTTCAGCATTCAGCTACAAACTAAAGGGTTGGAGATCCAAGCCCACCCAGAGTCATCTGTCTGTAGAAAACCCTGACCGTCTACCTCTAAAATATCACCATCAATGAAACCTTGTGGCCTCCTGTTGACAAATTACTCTCCAAATTCATCGCCTAGCTTCTAGGCCTCCAGCAGTCTACAGTAACCCTGCCACTAACTTCTCCACCAGTTTATGTGTTTTCATTCTCACGTGACCAAAGTAATTTTTTATTTCTTTTGATAAAAATGCTGCTTAAAAGCAGTTTTTAAGCAGGGTGGTATTTTGTCTTTTGCCTTAAAGTCTATTTTATCAGAAATTAATTATGCCACTCCTGTTCATTTTTTGATTGCCATTAGCTTGATATATTTTGTTTCATCCTTTGATTTTATCTATTTTTTTCTTTGTGTGTAAGGTGTGTCTTGGAAACAATATATTGAAGGATACTGTTTTCTATCCATTCTGCTATTCTGTGTCTCTGGTGAATTTAATTCATTTATGTTCAATACCATTATCGATAGGTATGACTTGATTGCTGTTATTTTGCTGTTTGTGTGGGATTTTTTGGTTGTTGTTATGCTGCTGGTTTATTTGCTCCACATAAATTTCTGTGCTAAGTTCATTTTGTTCATGAGTTTTCATGTGATTTTCTTCATTGATATTGCTTTAATGTTTACGAATCCTTTATGATTTTCTCTTTTTTATTTTGATGTGAGAGTATACTAATTTTCTTTGAGGTTACCCTGTAATTTATAATTTCTTCCCCTGTTTAAAACAGTCTATTTTATCTTGAAATCTACTTGACCTCCTCACCATTTGGAAGTTCTGTATCTTCTCTATTCCCTCTTTTTGCTTTGTCATTAATTTCATTATAAATTAATATTTCTGGTTCCCTATTTTCAGTCTTGTCGGCTTGTTTTACTTTAAATATTATATATCTGGATTGAGTTCTGGGTTGTATTATCATATATTTTAATCTCAAATTGTTTTCTGCTGTTGGTGGTTCTCAGTCCAATGAGCACTCTAGTATTTTTTTCGTGAAGTTGGTCTGATTATTACAAAGTCCTTTCTTGTATGTTTATCTGGAAATTTTCTAATTTTTTTCACAATATTTGAGGGATAACTTTGCTGGATATATGACTCTTGGTTGGCTTTTCTTTTTCTTTTTCTTTTTCTTTTCAGGGTTTCATATATGTCATACCATTGATTCTTGTCTGCATGATATCTACTGAGAAATCAGAACTAAGTCTCATTGGTTCACCTTTTCAGATAACTTTGTTTTTCCCAAGTACTCTCAGATTCCTTCCTCACCTGTGGTTTGATTATACTATGTCTTGGTGATTTTCTATTAGGGTCTAACCTGTTTGGGGTTTGTTCAGCTTCTTGACTGCTTATCTTCTTGTCTTTCATGATGTTTTTATGATGTTAAAGGAAAGTTTTCTTTTAACAATTCTTTTACAATTTTCTCTGCCTTTTTTTTTTTTTTTTTAAGGTTTTTATTGTGGATTGAGTGAAAGTTTACAGGGCAGATGATCAGTTTTACATTCAACAAATCATACTCCTTGTTTCATTTCAATGATTATAAATGTCCTCCATGTACCATCAATTAACAGTATTTCTCTCTATTCACTTTAGCTTTAAAAACAAACAAACAAACAAACAAACAAAAAACTCAGGCATATATAATAATTTACACCTCCAAAGGGCACATTCTGCAAATCCTTGGCCACCAGCTCTTAGTCCCTCTCTCCCCATGAATCTAGAGTCCTCAGCCGCTCCCCCTCTTCATGACCCCAACTCTGCCTCCGTCTCTGGCATCACTGCTTCTCTGGATAAGGTCCCGCATTCTGATTGTGCTCCTCTCCCTTGATGGTCCTTGGGTCCTTTGTTTCTGGACTGTAAGTTTAACCACTCCCTGTAAGATTAACCACTCCCCTGTTCTTGTTACAAAACTTCTACATTTACTATTATGACAGTCGCAATTAGTCATGGTAACAATTATGCACTATTGAATCGTAAGAATCTTATCCCCATCTAGACAAGATGAAAACTATTCAGTGGGGACTCTTTCTTCCCTCTCATACTCTTAAACTAAACTCCCTCTTGAAACCTTGTAGGCCAGTCACTTCATGTCTTTATTGCGCCCTCATTTTAGATAGTCAATGTCTAAATTGCTCATCCCTGTCTACCCTGTATGCAGAGGGGATAGCATTGATACTTGATATGGAGACTCCATCCCTTTCTGTTGGTGTTTAGAGTTGTTACCTCCATGAGTATAGGTCAGGTTCATCAAATTGTAGCAATTCCTTTATCAAACAAATAAATGTTTTTTTGTAATCTTCCTCTAGTTGAGTTCTGATTATCCAAGCCATCGACGCTAGGGCAAATGGGTACTGTCTGCAAGTTTGGATGTTCTTGTGCATCTCCACTCACTTCATATCAGCAGGATTCTGCTTTTTTTGGGGGGGGTGGGGAGGTCTTTCTGTTCTATCATTCTGATCACCCATGTTATTCCTCTTAATGGTGTCCCATACACATTTTAGGTTTCCTTTGGATTTTTTTCCTTCTTTTTTCAGGTTTTTCTTCTAGCATACTAATATGGAAAGATTTATTTTCAAGCTCGTGACTTCAGACTTCCATTGTTACAGATCTATTCCTTTACCTTTCCATGTATTGTCCATTCCTGAAATCTTGGTGTTAATCTTCTGGATTTCTAATAACAAATTTTGCATTTTTTAAAATTTTTCATTTATTTTGTCCAATTTTTCTTGTAATATTTTTGTGAACTTTTCTATTTTTTGTGTCCTCCTTGCTTTCCTCAATCTCTCTCATACCATTAAAGGTACCTAAATTTCATTCTTTTAAGTTCTTCCTCAGGTAGTACCATTATCTTTTCTTCTTAAGAAATATTTTCTGAGTTTGCATCTTGGTCACTTGTTTGAGCCAATCTGTCTTACTTTTCCAAAGAACTGAAATCGTCTTTTGCCTGAGAGACATTGTAACAGCATTGTATTTGTACTTATTGATGATTGCATGTTGGCATGTTCATAGGATCTCCTGGTAGTTGTGATTTGAGAATGGAAGTGTGCACAGTTCTCTATTTTCTGATCGTGCAACTCAATTTGGCATGGGTCTGGCTGGAGCTGCCTTTGATCAGGCAGTATAGATGCTAGTGTTGGCTTTTACATTTTTACATAGAGCGGCAAGAGATATGATTGAGGTTGGGCTGTGTGCTCACAGTTGCTGTCTCCAACCAGCTGGGACATGATGAGAAAACACACACAAAAGGGGATGGGGGAACAGAACAGAACAAACATACAATCAAACTACAGTTAAAAAATAAAATAGTAAAGGAGAAAAAAGAAAAAAAAATAGGCATCAACTGGAAAATAAGAATTCAATATTTTAAAAGAGAAAAGAAGGAGAGGAAATAAAGCTGTAGATGGGAAAAATAAGACAGAAATTAAACATTTAAAAAGAAAACACTAAACAATACTAGCAAGAGGGAGGATCAGCCACTGTAAGTCGGAACCAACTCAACAGCACTTAATAACAACAAAGATGTTGTCTGTGTTCAGGCACCTAATCCAGAAGTAATTCCCATAGCTCCTTAAGGACCTGGGTTCAGTGCCTTATAGGAGCAGAAGGTTGCTAGGTGCAGGGCAGTTGGTTCCTCAGTCTAGAGATGGCCTGGCACCTCCATGAGTTCTGCAAGTCTGGAGAAGCACCCACCTGGATCCATTCACCAGGGCAGCACAACTGGCATTTACCTCATACCAACACAGCTGACAAATGTGAATTCCCAAAAAGCAGGGACTGCATTTGGGGTTGACAAAGGTAGGTGTTGGCCTGGTCACCAGGGGAGTTCAGGGAACAGGCAAGAATCACACCTTTCCCATTGCTTGTCACCCATGTGTATCTGCATTGTCAGTCTGCCATCTGCCTCCAAAGCTGCTCACAAAACTGTAAGATAGCCATGCCGCATCTGTCCAGTGGACCCCTGTCTGTCTTCTTCTTTCATTGCCCCGGCTCAGCTTTTCCTCCCAGCAGGCATTCTGTCCAGGTCTCTGTGCTTTCCTCGGAAGCTCAGGGTCCCAGGATTATCTCTGTATCGGTTGCATTTGGTCTCTCCTCTTTGTTGCAGAGGGTCTATGTAGTGTGTCTGCCTGGTCTGCATCTTGCCAGAAGTCTAATAAAGTCTGAATTTCTTGCAAGGGTTTCACTGTTATTTTCTCACGTTTGTACTTTAAGTCTACCTGGAATTTACTTTTGAATATAGTATGCAAAAGGAAGTTTATTTTTTTTCCCCACTGATTTCTCATTCTGCTTTGTTCTTATATCAAGTTTCCGTATACATTTTAGTATGTTTCCAGTGTGCTTTTCCCTGGT